ATGCGTATCCTCTGAAATGGTGGTTGAAGCATGAAGGGACATATGAATCTTTAGCGCATCTGGCACGTAAATATCTTGCGACGTCTGTTACAACAGTGCCATGAGAATGCCTGTTCTCACTTTCAGGTGACATTGTAAACAAGAAGCGGGCACCATTATCCCCTGCAAATGTAACTAAACTTATTTGTCTGAGCGATTGGCTGAGGTAGGACTGACTGGACTTGGCGGCTCTAAAGTTTTACATTGTTTTATTTTTGAATGCAGTTTTTTTTGTACATAATTCGACATTTGTAAGTTCAACTTTCATGATAAAGAGATTGCACTACAGTACTTGTATGAGGTGAATTGAAATATACTATTTCTTTTGTTTTTTACAGTGCAAAAATTTGTATTAAAAAATAAATATAAAGTGATCACTGTACACTGTATTCTGCGTTGTAATTGAAATCAATACATTTGAAAATGTAGAAAACATCCAAAATATTTAAATAAATGGTATTCTATTATTGTTTAACAGTGCAATTAATCGTGCAACAGCCCTAATTTAGATTAAAAGTAAAACAAGTTTAACACAAAAAGAGGATTTTAAGTGAGTTCAAGTGTGAGGGATAAACAGGGACGGCTCTAGCTTTTTTGCCGCCCCAAGCACGGCAGGCAGGCTGCCTTCAGCTGCTTGCCTGCGGGAGGTCTGCCGGTCCCGCGGCTTTGGCATACCCGCTGCCGAATTGCCGCCAAATCCACGGGACCGGCGGACCTCCCACAGGCAAGCCGCCGAAGGCTGCCTGACTGCTGCCCTCACAGGGACCGGCAGGGCGCCCCCTGCGGCTTGCCGTCCCAGGCACATGCTTGGAGCGCTGGTGCCTGGAGCCGCCGCTGGGGATAAAGTTAAAAATGGTTACAAGCAAAGAAAAGGTGATCTCTCACTTCCACCCGAACCAATTACCTCACCATAGTTCTTCCTAGAGCTGCCTTCAAACAGAGAGTGAAGGAACTGCATACACTGGATGTGTCCAGAGCTCTTTATATTGCCTTGATAGCACCAACCCTTTCTGGTTGTCTCCCCACCTTTTTGTAGCCATTTCTACCCATCTAAAGGCCAACCCATCTTGTCACAGAGAATCTCCAAGTGAATCACACAGTGTATTTCCACTTGCCATCAACTAGTTGGCAAGCCTCTCTCTCCAAACATCAAAGCACACACCACCAGCTCACAGGCAGCATCTACCTCCTGTGTTAGGAATGTTCCAATTTCTGAGATTTGCAAGGCTGCCAGAACATCTTAAGGAGCCACAACACCTGTAGGGTAGGTAACCATATTAGTAGAGAGGCAGCTACCATAGAGGGTGGTGTGAAGTAAGGCACAGGATTAGGAGTGGATGAAGGAGACAAAAGGAGTGATGAGAAGAGAAGCACCAAGTGGAAAGGGGATGTAGGAGAATTGGAAATGCCAATTTTATTAAAAACTTTCAAAACATCTTTCTCAGTTCGTTAGTGAGAATGTTTTCTTCTTTGTGAATTTTCATACCCTGAATGTAGAATTTTTTCTTAAGATGTACGTATACTTGTGAAAGAACTTGATGGGCCTGATTCTCCAGTCACATCATTGCAAAATTGATGAGAGGAGAACTGGGTTACATATTTATATGGGTGTCCAGAACCTGCATGTCCTGCTGCTTTCCTGCACCTACCCAGTTGGTTTTCAGCCAGCTTACCTACTTTAAAGTGGAGGCTGCTTGATGATTAATCATATTACGACTGGGGTTTCTTTCATTCACGTAAAACACGATTAATAATTTGTAAAGCTGCCATTATTGTGTCCAACCTTTGCTGCTTGCTGTTGTTGGTTTGCCCGTCTTACCACACTGAATCAGAACCTGTGCATGGAAGCATCATCTTCAAGAATCTCTGAGGGTGCTGCTTAATAACAGGTGCTCATCTTTCAGGACAACAGACAAGTGAATTTACAGCAAAGTGCTAGAAAGGTAAGGTTAACGCCTGGGAGGCTTTTAGAACCTTTTTACTTAAATGTAAGGCAGAATGAGGACAGGGAGACAGTGTAGGAAAATAACTGACAATCCTTACTTAGGGGCTGATTTATCAGAGCACTTAAGCATATGGCTAACTTTAAGCACATGCTTGAATGCTTTCCTGAATTGGGACTTGATTCCCACTAAAAATATCTGGGTACTGTATGTCCTTGTTTGAAACTTGCGAAGAAATGTAATTTTACTTCAAACTGTTTCTGTTGAGGAAATGTCAGCCAAGGTTTTTCAACCTTATAATGATGGAGGAGGGATTTCTAAACTACTTCTACCTCTATCCCTACATTCCAAGTTCCATTACTACACATCCTGTATAATGTGCTCCAACCTTTCCTGTAAGATTTACTGCAGAATTCATTATCTACTCCAGATGTATTATTCAGCACCACCAGAAAAGGGAATAGAGCAGTAGAAAGACATAACCTGAAAGAACCCTTAAATCCATTATATCCCTTAGAATAGAGTGCATGGGAATAAGCATGAATGAATGAACTAGCTATGTTTAGAAACAATTACAGATGTGGAACCTGCTTGTCTAGACATCTGGTCTTTTTATCTAGATCAATTTATTACATGTGCACTTGATAATACTTGTGTGCTAAATCTTGCAAATCTTCACTTAGACTACAGATATCTGAGGATTTGCAGGGCTCTAAACAGCTCCACAGGTCACTGCGGAGAGGTGACCAGTGGTGCTGGAACAGGTTGGGGGCCTCGCCCATCCACTTTTCACAGGGATGGACCCCTCCCCCTTTCCCTCTTCTTCCCCCGCCTCCCCCAGACCCCACCCTGGCCGGGGTGAGGGGGGCCTTGGAGCCACAGCCTGGCCATGATACAAGCTGGGTGGGCAGCTGTGGGGAGCCGTGGCAAACCCCCCACCTGCCCACGGGGGTGAGGGGCTGAGAGCAGCTCCCAGCCATGTCCCTGCCCACCAGGCTCCCCACCCGGCTGAGGGCAGGTGGAAGGTACACGACGCCATGCTGGCTCGGGGGAGGAGGAGGTGCCTCGGAGCCTCAGCCCGGCTACAGTAAGAGCTGTGTGGGTAGCTGTGAGGAACCGCGGTGTGGACCCTCCACCTGCCCTGGGTGGGAGGATGTGGGGGACAGCGACATGGGCCAGGGACTGCTCGGCCTCCCCCACCTACGGTATGTGGAGGGTCTGCCGCTGCTCCCCACAGCTGCCCGCCCGGCTCTTAGCATGGGAGTCTGGGTCCCTCCACCTGATCTGGTGAGTCTGTGCTACAGCAAAATTTGTATCTGTATCAGAGCTGCTCGCCGCAAAAATAGTCCATGGATATGCAGATATAAAGCAGATACCCGTGGATTTGCAGGGCTCTACTTATTTTTCTGCAGGATCAGGGCCCTAGGCCACCTCTGCAAACCCTTACTCATGCAAGTCCTCCTTATTCTTGTGCTCATGTTAGTTTTCTTATTACAGTTGTTTTCAACCACCTGTGGGCCGCACACCCCTGAGAGTCCACAGACTAAGATTTGCAAAGGAGTCTATACCTCCCTTTGAAATTTTTTAAGAGTCTGCAAATGAAAAAAGGTTGAAAACCACTCCCCTCTTAGAATCAATGGAGCGGTACATGTAGGGTGACCAGATGTCCCGATTTTAGGGTCTTTTTCTTATATAGGCTCCTATTACTCCACACTTACTATCTGGTCACCCTAGGTATCTGTGAGTAAGCATGACTCACGGGAGTCAGGTTTGCGGGACAGGGCTCGCCCATCCCTCTTAGTAAGAAACAAAATTTGAAAAAAATAAATCCTCTTCACTAGGTGACATGCTAACCACTCC